TTTGCATTTCTTTAGGGAAACTGAAGAAGCCACACATCCTAATTGGGAAGGCAGTGCAAGGTGGTAAAGCGGGGAATTTCAACAGATGCTCCAACTTCTCAAATCTAAGTAGGTCATTAAATTTCAACTACAAACACAGGACAAGAAAATAAAAGGGAGAAACTCTATAAAATAGGGGCAGGATAAGTTAAAAACCCCAAACTACTTTGTCCTAGACTTTCCATGGTTGTCAAAAGTCCACAGTGCAATGGTCCAGCATCCAAACCAAGATGAGCCCTGTGTGACTTTCTCGACCAAGATCCCTGTGCCCTGGGCTCAGCCCAAGCCGCACCGCTCAGCAGAGCACGAGGACCCCACTTCCCAGGCTCCGTTCAGAAAAGACACAGCAGAGTCACAGAGACAGAAGCCACACAAAGGTAGCATACCTGTTCTGGCGGCTCACGGGCCGGAAGCAAGCTTAGCCAGGGAAAGCCTCTGTGCGCTGCCTCACCAGCTTTTTTTCCAAAAAGGCCCCTCCAAAGAGGACCACGAGGGGCGTCACCAGCGGCGCCAATCAAAGGCCGTCCATTCATCCTTCCTTTCTCTCCATATGTGACAAAGGGCAAAAATACGTGAATCAGCGGGATTCGTGCCCTGGCTCTGACGAGCACGAGAAATGCAAGGTGGTGTGCGGGCAGGAGCTCTCCCAGGGGGTTCCTGGGAGAGGAGAGCTCCCACGGAGAAGGCAGACTTCTCCAGCAGCAAGAGCTCCATCAGCAACGAGAGCCAATGAGCTGACTGCAGACACTGAATGTTTGTTTTACTTTGTTTAAAAGAAAAAAGAAAAAAAGGCAAACCATCTCGCACACATTTTGTTCTGCTGCATTTCTCCACTAACAAGAGGCTGACAGATCCGAAGCCCGTTCCAGAGGGAGGGGTGGACTTCGGGCAAACTATCAAGGCTCCGACTTGGGGACCACGGCCAATGCCACAATTTCCCTCGGCCTTGATCTTTACAAATATGAGAAGCAGAAGCCTGGCGTGGGTTCTATTTTCTGTATCAGATACTAGCCACACTTTCTTTTTCATGCAAAAGTCTAGTCTAAGAGACTGGTAACTGGCTTTTTTTTCTGGTATCTGAAAAAGAATTGTTAAAAATTGGACATCACCTTGTTAATAGTAAACAATTCTTAGTTGAATTAAACTTTTTATCTCTTTTTTCTTTCAAATTTCCATTGCATCCGAGGATAGCATTCTTCCTTCAGAAGTCACAGAAAAGTTGTTTGTATAGTATTCTTCTTTCTTCCCCTTTCATTTTTAATTTCTTCTACAGGTCTGGTGTCAAATCGGAAAACTTACACTTTACTAGAGTGATTCAGAAAAATCCACAATTGTGGAGGATATTACTGGCATGTCTTAGAAAAACAATGATGTGCATGTATGTTCATCCAGGGTTAAATAAGCTGGCTAATTAGGAACCAAGCTGGTGGGATATACTGCATATATTTTTGTTTGATAAAGAGCAACATTAAGAAACCCAATTGTAGGGTTCTCATCTTATACATAGTTAAAAAAAAAAAAGAAAGGATGAAAGAAAAAAGAGAGAAAGAGACAGGTAGGATTGTCACATTCCACATCACATTTTCCCACCACCAAAATCACATGCCCCTTGGAGAAGGACATTTTTGAGCTCAACATCAATACTTTCTTAGAGCCAAGAAGACAGAAAAATCTGAGAGCTAGGTGGGGGTACTAGAGAGCACATAGTTCAAGCCTTCACTTTACAGAGGAGAAAACTGAGGTTCAGGGCAGAGACTATCCACACGAACTCAGCAGGGTCAGCCTTAGGGAACAGGTCAGCCCTGGTGGCTCTTTGTGGTCCAGGCTGGAGCCACGCACGCAGATGGATACCTCCCAAGAGTCTGTTCAAGTCAACACACCGTGAAGAAGCAGCTTCTGGATGCTGGGCTGCACTGGGTGTTAGGGCTCAGTGACACAGAGGACACGGCCTGTCTTCGTGGCCTCCCTGACCAAACCCGGGGTTGGGGGGCAGCATTGAACAGCAACAAAGGGCTCTGGTACCACCAGTTTCACCCCATGCCTTTGCCGGAAGCAATGACTCTTCTGACATGCCTCAGAGTAAGCCTGTGTGTACTGAAGTTAACATTCCAAAGATACTCTGCAAGCTGCATCTGGTGAGCTTAAAGCAGGAGTCAGAAAGCACCCAGATCACTAGTGAAATGAAGCAGTATTTATCATGCTGAAATATCAAGGTTTCAGTTCAGCTAGCATTCCTCATCTCAATATAGGAAATACAACTCATTTTATTTATCAGAATATACTGGAAATTGATACCATTAGAGTCTTTAATTCTCTATGCCTCTCAAGTATCAACTTTTAATACAAAGTTTTGGATACAGATATAGAAGAAAGCATTGAAACATTCATGCTCTATTGTAATAGATTGCAGCATTGGCATTTACCTGGTACTTACAATAATCCTTATTTTCTGCAGGTTTTGATTCTAAGTAGTGGGGTGGGAGGTGCTCAGCTTTTTTTCTAGAGCTGTAATCAGAAACAAAGAAAATGCTGTCAGGTAACCTGTCTCCTGGTTAAAACACTTCTCTCCTTGGAACACACTCCTCCTAGAAGCCTTTAGCTCTGAATTCCACATAGAAAGCGTAGCCGCAGAGACGCTGCTGCGTTCTTGCCGGCAGTGTGACTGACTAGTCCCCCCTCCTGCAAGACAGCTCATGCAGAAAGATCTGTAAAACCAGAGTTGGAAAGGGCCATTCTCAGTACCAATTTTTTTTTTTGAGGCATATTGATACATCTCCAACTTCACTTAATTATTTCAAGAACACAGCCTGAAACTCCTATACAGTGTTGGCGAGCTCAGAGTCATGTAGCACATCAAATGGACTCGTTGCCAAAAACCCTCTTCCACAGGGCGCTCCGGTGCTGATCCACCCCGCTTCAGAAACCATGAACAAAGACTCTGCTTTCAAGCCTCCAGAAAGCAGCCGTGGCTTTGGTAAATGGCTTTCTAGTCTCCCAGAACTCTGACTTTGATGCCATCCGAAACACAGTTCTCCATTCAAAAATGACAAGGGGAAAAAGAGCAAAAATTAGATCTAAGAAGACAAAGCCCCGATGATGAACAGTTGGAAATGGACAGAAATGGACTGGAAATGGACAGGAAGGAGGCGAGTACTCACACTGCAGCCGGCTTCCCGGGCAGACGGCGCTGGCTGATAAAGCCCTGCCGGCCTCTATTAAAAGGGAGGTGCTTAGGAGGAGGGTGCTGGGGGAGGCACCAGCACTTTATATTCGGAACCCACCCTGCCTATCTGTGCACCCAGTTTTCTCCTCCCACTTCAGGCCCAGGGCCAAGGCACTGCTGAGGAACTGGTTCCCTGTCCTGCACCTGATGTCTGTCTGTCTGTCTGTCTGTCTCTGATCTTCATTCCCTGCTGACAGGTTTGCCATCGTTTCTGCGGGTTCCAAGGTCTTTGTCCAGCTTCAGTCCTACTCAAGTTCCTCTATGTCTTCCCCATGCTGTTTCCTCTACCTCCCACCCCCACCCTGAGATATTTGGGGTGAAAGTTTATACCTGCAAAGGATCAACAGAGTGTCACTTAAACTAAAAAGCTAGGGACAGGCTGCTACACGGTAGACTCTGGAGCTAGGTGACTCCCAGGGCGGAATGTTATCTCAGACTCCATGTGGCTTCTGCACCCGTGCAGGAAACCAGCAAGGTCCTGCGGGGCGTGCTGCGAGCGTGGGTGGCACAGGGGTGAGCAGGTCATTTTCTGGAAACCAACCTGCCCTTTTCCCCAGAGAGGAGAAAGCAGAGATAGAAATGTTTCTCTGGAACGCCTTCCTTTCCAGGTGAGAATCCCAGGACAAACTCTGCTGCCTTTTAAAAGCCGGGAGGCCAACATTCCACAGCAGAGGAGCCTAAAATGCAGGTGGGAAATCCCTTTCTTCCCCATTCTTCTTACATTTCAGTTTTATGGCTTGTTCTGCGACGGCAGAAATCCAGCTCACTCCGGCGCACTTCTATGAGCAGAGTTTGTTTAAAAACGAAAAGCCTACAAACAGCCTCCCGCCTGCCTGGATGAGCTGATAGCCCTTGTCAGCGAGGCGGCCGGCGACTCTCGGGCTCCACCTCCTGGACACCCGCCAAAGCACAGGGTCCCTTGTCCTGGGAACCCCCTCCCTCCAGGTGGCCCCTGAGGCTCAGGGTGTGTGTGTCTGGGGCCTGGGTGGGAGACCAGAGGTCCAGGTTCACGACCAGAGTTTTGAGGTTCAGGCAAATCTCCCTCTAACATTTTCTTCCTGCAGATATAAGGAGAAAATAAACTTGGGTTACCCTGAAGGAGAAAAATGAACCACAAAAGGATAGTCAGAGGGCCTGGTTTGGGAATGAAAAGAATCACACTAGTGTTTCCATGAGTTCTTTATGCAAATAGGCTACAATCTCTCGTAGTAATGATAAACAATAAATATTAATAATAACAATGATAATGATAAAAATTGCACAAATGGTTGGGCATTCACTTGATGTGCTGGGCATTGTGCTAAGCACTTTATATGCTTTAGCCTTTTGACCATCACCCCCCCAAAAAATCACTAAAGCAGTATGAGGGGAATGCCTCATTTTGCAGAGGGGGAAACCAAGGCTCTCAGAATTTAAATAACTTGTCCTAAGTCTGACATCAAAGTTTGTACTTTGAGGTCCTCTAGCACCATCCAGTACTTCCAACCTCTAACCACTGTTTGCCTTTCATTAATTCATTAATTAACTCCAGGGGCTCAACCATCGACGTGTATTTATAGACCTCGTCCTGAGGCCACCTCCACACAGCACCCGTGCAGCCTCCTGCCTCAGTGGCCTGTCGGAGCTGGTCAGTGGTGGAGGGTGTGCACTGAGTCTTAGGTCTTCTTGGCAGAACCACCTCCTCCCCACACTTCCTGCCCGCCCTCTCCCTGGGCCTTGTACAGGGACACCTTAAGTGCTGGTCACAAAACGCAGCCGTGCTATAGGTGGGCGCAGGGTAGTGCAAAACAGTGAGATTCCAAGTCAGGCAGACCCGAGCTTGAATCGTGGCTTTGACCCTGACGAGCTGTGTGAGCCAAGGTTTGCCACCCTCTCTGGGCCTCACTGCAAAGTGCAGGGAGGTTTACTTTCTTCGTGCGGTTGTGCTGAAGCTTGGCGACGATGCATGTGAATCTCTGCACATGACACGTGGCGGTGCCACCATTCTGATGTCTGCCCTGCTCAGTCAGGGTTGGTTTGTTCTTGAGGATTCTCGAAAGGGTCCCCTCTCCCAGCCTGAACCAGGGACAAAGCTTCTTCTTGGCTCCCACACGAGGAGGGGTGTAGTTATGAGTGTGGAAGAGCCTTGAAGCAGGTGGGTGGGAGCCAGTCTCACCCTGCAAGACCCCAAGATGCCACGGTCTACCCTTGCCCAGTGGCTGTGGCTTTGGAGAGAACCCTGAGTCGGACATCAGAGGGGCGATGGGGCACCCAGTAACAAGTGCACACATGGGCTCTCAGTGGTTTTTCACAGCCCTAATCACACAATTCAATGACTTTTTCTCAGCCCCGCCTGCTATCGGTTGCCGAGTGTTTAAGCACTGACCCTGGGTTCCTTCCCACCTCCCCTGCATCTCCCAGGCCTCTCCTCTCCTGCTTCTCTGAACCCATCTGCCACCCTCTGTCTGGCTCAATCCCAGCTCAACACACACGGCATTTTCCCTCCACAGAGTTTCTGCCCAGGGAAAGTCCTCTCTCCTCTCTCCCCACCCACGTGGCGCAAACATCCACACCCAGGCTCCCTCCCTCCTCCCGTCCATGCCGTGCCCCTGGTTGCTGAAAGCAGCTGTGTCCATGCTTCTCATCAGACAAGTGGCCAGCCCCTGGCCCTGCAACAGTTCTGCTATTGTCTTTTATTAAAAATATATTTTAGGCTGCATAGTCCCACCTGGGCTGGAAGATACAAATAGTTCCTTTTCTTCATCACAGATCTCTTTCTTTCCAGAAAGGTTTTGAGGAAGTTCATAAAATATATGTGAGAAGAAATAAGATCTAGAAGAAGAAATGGGGAAGAAGAAATGAAAAAAAACAAAACAAAACTATGGCTCATGGCACGATTTAAATCTTTTTCCTGCCATATCTTGCATGTGTCGATATTTTAAAATATGTATTATTTGACTCAGAAATTATTGCAACACTGTTTCATGTTGGTTGCTGCTTGATATTCCATGTCTCCATGGGCAATGTCACTTTGCAAATAATTTGCAGTGTAAGCGTCCCTGGGGAGCATCCACGCGCGGGAATTCTACCCGGACAGGAGCCCACAGGGGGCTCTCCTGCGTCCTGAGCAGGGCTTTCTAAACAGAAGAGCGAGCACTAAAGAAAAAACATTCTCATTCTTCTCTTTCTATCCTCCCGCCCCCCACAAAGAGAGAGGCAAAGACCGCACATCACATTGGGTACAGAATGTCCCACTGCAATGTGTCCTGAGCCCACAACATTTGGTAAACAGTCCAACAAAACGGCTCCAGTCAACAGCCAAAACTCTCACTGACCCAGAATGCCCCTTGGGGTAGCCTTTGTGGTAGGCATTCCCTAGATGTGGGGCCAAGAGGCAAGCAGGCTCAGAGTGCACACATCTCTCAAACCTCCACCGCCTGCCCTGGCCTCCGTGGGGGTAGGTGATGGCAGGAGGCACTGAGATGCCTATGTTCTTAGCTCTGAGATGCAGCTGTGCAATTATTCAGCTCCACTGAGTGGCTGGTTGCTTCTGCACACAGAAGAAGGGTGAGAAAACCTCCGTCCCTATCTATGACTTTGATCAGATTCCGTCTTTCCTTACATTGCCTTCTTTCCAGCTCTTAAATGAAACTCGGGTCAGTGTCAGGCCCATCATACAGGTCTCTGGTATCCCCAGCCAGTACCTAAGGATGTGCACTGCACAAATGCACTGTGTCTAAAAGGGGTACCATGATCATCCTAGACATTTATTTATTGCAACAAAACTCCTATAGAAGGCGCCAAAAAGTCTTGGTGAAAGCTGTGCTGGGGTGTCTTTGCATGAACGGGAAGGGGCCATACTGGTTAGCAATGGTCCCGCTAGTTTATTCAGGATTAAAAAAAAATTTTCCCAGCGAGAGACCAAAAAAGCAGGAGAATCCTTCTGATCTCTCTAGACTAGGTTGAAGAAGGGATTGAAGTGTTCGGGACAATGAGAGTTGAGGACTGGCATTGCCCCGTCCCCCTGACCCTCTCTTGAGAATAATTTACAACTCTTTAGGTTGTCTCCTCCAAGTTAAAGATATTGTGATAATGGCCCTACGCTTAGGAAGTCAAGCTTTATTTTATAATTGGGCCAGGAAGACAAGGTGGGATGGCCTGGCACCTCCATGGTGAACGAGGTTCCCTGAGCCAGTGGGCTGGCCAAGGGTTATAGGTGCCTGGCAAAGTCGCCAGCCACTGGAGGTTGAGTGGGATGGGCTGAAGCCCACTCCCAGCCAGGCATCCAGGGTTACTCACTAGGGAGCATTGTGGAGACAGCTGGGAAGTAGCCAAGAAGCTGGAGGGCTGGTGCAGGTATGTTAAGGGAGGCTGCTCTCTGGAGCTGAGGAGGTGGCAGCTGGCTGCGCAGTGTTGCCAGCTCCGCCTGATTTAAAGGACCCTTCATGGTTACCAGAACTGCTCACTATTTCCACCCCTTTCCTTACACCAGTTGGTTGCCAGGATTTAGAGAGGGACTCAGTGTCTCTTGACCCTCACCCTTTCTCCCATTCTTCTTGCCTCTTTTTCCTTCCTATTGGCACCTGCCAAGGCTGGGGTGGGGCCAGAGGCAGAGGGGCCTTGAGGGCCAACCATTCAACTGCCTGTCTGGTCAGAGGGCTTCAAGCTGGACTGTAGTGTACCCTCGACCTCTTGCGTTGGCAAATTGAACTATTATGATTCAACTGACCACAGATTTATATCAGGGCCTTAGCAATCCTATAGTAGTGTTGTCTTAGCAAATGCAGTTGTGCAGGGATATTACAAAGGATGTGAAGGAGAATTCCCAGGCACCTCTGGTACTGCATCCTGTTGGTAAGGAATAAACTCGATTGCACATTTTATTCAAAATCAAAGTTAAACCCAGTGGAAGAGGACATGTATTTTTTGATGCGACATCTCTTGTTAGAA